TAAAATAATTTTTTTTTACTTAATTACTTTATCTCTACCCCCTTCCCACAAAATTCGTGCCCCGCAAAAAAATTGGGGGGATTGTTTTTTTTTTTTGTTTAAACCCCCCCCCCCCCCCCCCCCCCCCGTTCCACTTGATTTTAGGCTATTCAGGGATCTTAGCGGCTTAGGTAAGGAAAGGAACAAGGACAAGGAAAGAAGCAGAGAAAGCCAAGGTGAAGACACCTAGCTTGAGCTCAGACCACTTTTTGTCGGTGACGATGGGGCGTGGCACGGGACGATCCAGCAGGGGTTGTCATCGCACTAAGGCCCTGATCCCTGTTTCCCATCACAATCTTTCGGTTTTGTGAGCTGTCATTTCTTGGCGATTTGGAAGCGGATACCAGGTAGGTAGGTTAGGTACCTAAGAAAAGTACCTAAACAAAAAAGGGATTAGCTTCACCTAGGTTAGGTGATTAGACCAACCCATTTTGTTACCCGTTACCTGCTCCCGTTACTCCCGTTACTCCCTGGTCAGTTAGGTATTGAGTTGTTCTCCTTATCCCGGGATCATCTTTTATTGCTGACATTGGATCGTAATGAACTCAACTCAATTCGTCCACAATTCCATATTATGAGATAGGTACTACCTATGCGCATATATCATCCTAATCCAATCTAGTCCCATTACTAGAAGGTACCTAGTCTAATAAACCATTACAACCTTACCACCACCACCAACTGCGCCGTTTTCGATTCTCACGATTTCTTCTCGATGGTTAGAAAGAGACTTAATCTCCTTTAGTGTATTGATGCTAACAAGATACATGCAAGCACTTGCGCGTTGCAACATGGCGTTGCCTCGCTCACCGCATAATAGATCGCGCACATGATCACCGATGGGCACCTCCTTTTCTCTGCTCACATCAGCCGCAAGATACATGTAGGTTATATCCAAATTATCAATGGAGTCTAGCCCCCCCCGGGAGGTGTACGTTCCCGCTGGTGCCCGGTACTTTGGTGGTACAAATCTGTTAAGAGCCGAAAGTCACGGCACTTCATTGCCAAATACGGAACCCGCTTACTGGATGTCCGGGCTGATTGGCAGCTGAGTATCAATGATCTGCTCCGGGGCGGGGCCAGGGGGGTTACCAGGGAGTGAATGTGATTTACTGTCGGTCTATCACTTCCAACACTTTGTATCTTAAGTATCCGAAGTATTCTATGTATCGTACGAAAAAAGTTCGATACATGATGATACTTTCATCTACCATTGTATTGTACTAATCTCGTGCGGCTCCGTTCGGACCACACACTGCCGAACCATGGATGGTGAATAAGAGGAGCCGAGCCTACGTGTAACGGTGTATACCTGTCCAACTACATGTCCAACGATCGCCTATGTAGGTGAGCGCAGGCCCAACAACCAGTTTATGTATTCTACCATTGCACTGCCGGCATGAGGAAGGAGTGTGCGCCCTATGTCCAGTCACCCGACGGACCGGCGTGGATTCTCTTTTTACAAATCAATCGCCTACAGGGCGGAAAAGATCGTCAGCCAAGATAGCCGTCCATATTCGGCTCGAGTCGGGCAATTTGACTCCCAGACTCCCAGTGCCGTGCCGCGGAGGAAGCTCCGAATCCACCGTGCCAAACCAAAGAACCTACCTAAAAGGATTCTGAATAAAACAAGGAAGCGTACCTTGTCATTCCCTTTCCTAGGGCTAGATAGCTAAACGCAATGGGAAATACTCCGACGCTCGTATGTCGGTATCTGTTAGGGGGCTTTAGCTCCGTAACAAAAGGCGCAACTTTCAGTGTACATCTTTCCCGCCGATCTTTTGACCTCCTGTCAAATGTTACATGGAATAAATGGATACGAAAGTTCGTGCCTGAAAAAAAAAAAAGTTAACCGTTGCAACAGTACGCGGTCGTAATCAGCCGGTTACTGATATGGATGAGAGCGTCGTTTCTTGTCAGCTTCTCCCAAGGAGCATTTCGGCGAATTTTACCTGTTTTCATGTCACAAGACCTCGGTACAAGCACGGCATTCCTTTGCCACCTTATACCCGGGCTGGTAGAACACCAACCCGCTGGTCGTTATGCCCTAAAACAAATGCCGAAAAGTCATCAATCGCAGAAGCCAGCCACGTTGTTTAATCCATCTCCAAGGTTCGACGATGCTAGGTACGTAAATCTTGGGGTCTGCTCTCTGATTCGAGATGTGACAAAGGGTATCTACCATCCTGACTGGCCCTAACACGTTCTTGACGTTTCGATTATGGGTCCTCGACCCTAGAGACGGGCCGCAAAATATGACAGAGTATAAATAGTACTCGGCAGTAAATAAGCACCTAGCTCTTACTTGCTGCGATTCATGATCTGATTACTGCCTACCCAGTACGTATTGCGGATGATCTGGGTGTTTCTACATTCACGCCCAGTCCTGACTGACCAATGTATGTACGAACTGAAGCTCTTCAGCCACTTAGAAGTAGGCAATAACCGCCACACTCTAGGAAAGGATGGAGAGGGGATGAGTTATACCTATCTAGTATATCCACAAGAGATTCTTAACATCCTATAGGGGCCCAGTATCTATGTCCCGTGCCCTATGTTACCTACATTTCATAAGGCAATATCAAGGTTTTAATACAAATCTATAACAGTGGTCAGCATAATGGTACGCCACGTCAGGGTAATCTACATGGAATAGTAGGTACTGGAAGATACACAGTACTAGGTTAGGTAGTTACAAACGACATAGTAACGACTATCAATATGAAATAAGAGGCGCGGCTAGTTGCAAAAGAGCGGCTCATGGATCATCTATGTAATCTGTCAGCCTTGCAGGACTAGTTGAGAGCTCCAGCAATCATCCTTGATGCAATCTAAATCTCTGTAGTTCTAAACGCTCTGTCCACGGCAAGACAAGCCGCCTGGCCGTTAACGAGATGAGCTATGAAAGTATTAAAGTCCAATATAGGGAACATGGAGTATTATTCAGTTTACAATACTATCCTTATAAAAGCTTGCTAGACATGTAAGGCTAGTCCTAGGTATTGGTAAACATTCCTATTATGGTAACAAGTCACAAGTGAGATAGCTAGATAGATCATAAATGGTATTTATTATACGTTTTACAACGCCTTAATTAGAAGATCAGTTCAACAAGTGAGCTAGGTAGCCTAGAATAATACAATGTGTACCTTATAAAAGCCTTTTTCGTCAGACGAGTTGTGGTTAATATCAGGGTTAGTTATCCTTAGCAGCCTTCTTGATACCTACCGGCTATATGCTCGTCTCTGTTGGATCTATGGACCAAAACCACCGCTCTGATTTACTCGTGCTGAATGCTGTCTACCTCATATGCTTGATTATAAACTTAGGTCGGTAGATACCTTAGGTACCTAACCCAGATAAATATTCTAGTCACTCACTTTGCAATTAACTGCTTGCTTTTCTTAACTGAGTTAGGTACGTAAAGTAGAATGAGGGGATGGGTTTAAAACAATAGTACGGTAATTTAAACATACACTGGACATAGGTATAACTCTACCTAATAAGAAAAATACATGCCACCCTCCAAGATACCCCTAGACCAATGTGTAAAGAAAGTCCTTCCCAGCCCCCCTTTCTCCTTCCTCCCAGGTCCCCGCCCGTCGCTTCCCTTGCCCTAGAAGACATTCTCTCAGCCCCATCCATCTGCAGTTCATCCTGGTAGGTATTGGTCGGGATAATGTAGAGAAAATATTCATTGTGCTGGCTTGCTTATCAGCAGCATGACGAGCCGCGGGTATGGTGATAGTAGTAGTAGTAGTAGTAGTAGTAGTAGTAGTAGTAGTAGTAGTAGTGATATGTGGTTATGACGGTAAGGACAGTGATAGGGTGATAGTGACAGTGTGAATTTGTCGCCGTGGATCGCTAGTAGCCATCCAATAGCCCCATTATGCGCGGTAGGTGTTGGGTAGATTCATCACGTAGTGAATTCATCCACGCTCATACCTCTTGTTCAAACCATATCCGCCGTGCCTGGGTAAGTAGTAAAGATACTCTACCCATGATGCAGTACGCCTTTGATAACCGATCTTCTGGCCTCTGTCGGTTTTTTTTTTCTCTTTTTTTTTTGGTCTGGCTATCGGGCAGCCATAAATATTTATTGATGTTCTATTCTTCGGAACACCTTCGTTCTAATGAGATGATCAAAAGACATGATATCTCGAAAAGCCGTGTGTCAGTCATGCAATCCGTAGGAGCTAAAAGCCGACATCGCGATAGGATGGAGCGCGAAGCTCATTAGGCCATAAACATATGCCACTCGTACCTATCCATCCGTGGTATGTCATTTGACAGCAGAGTCTCGTCGGAATCAGTAGAGCTGGCGTAATTCCGCTCGTCGTCGGAAAGATAGCCCGACTGTCGATATCTCGAGCCCCGTATTAACGAAGTGCGGTCGTTCGGGTCAGGGTCAGTGATCGGTGGTGGTCGGTAGTAGACCAGCCTCAGATAGGCGATAAGCATGCCGATGAGGACCGCGACGACGATCCACGCCACAATTATTAAGTATAAGAGGACCTGTGTGATAGGCATGGCTGGTATTATAGACGTGTGTGAACTAGTTTTGTCAATATGTTCAGGAGGGAAGATGTGTAGGGACAGTTGGCGGAATGAGAATAAAAATAAATGATTATGATCAGATTGCATGGCTGGCTTCATTGAAAACGCGGACACTCTATAAATTTACCTTATGAAACAAAATTTTCTACGACCTGTTGCCCCCTTGGGGTTCCGCGGCCCAAATACGATGAAGCTGTCAGTTTATAGTTTGCGGTTGTCCAAAGCGCTCCCAAAGTATAATTGGCGGGAGGCCTTGTCTATAATACATTAGGTACCTCCTATTTATCAACGAGGAAGAAACTCTCCAGTGTATACCCCAGGTACCTAGACTCGGCTATATGCAAAAAGGAGACCCCTCCAACAATAGCCTTATAAGACATGAGTACAATGAAATCTCGAAGGGAGTGGGAAGTTCTTTACACCTTTGATCAAATGCCTATTCAAAGAAGTTATTATGTTGATGTCGAGTGGTGATAAAAAGGATCTGAGGGCGCAAGTCAAAGCCCATAGTTTTCTTTTATACTCTTGCTACACACCTAGACCTAGGCTAAAACTTGGCTTGGATTCGTCAGCTTCTGTCCATATCTTGGTAGCCCTAAGATTAAGCTTTGTTTCCATTTCCAAAACGAACGGTGTAGATATGATCAACGGACGGGCAATCCGGGTCTAGTAGCCTCGTTTTAGATATACTCCTAGCTACCCATAAAGCCAAGCCGGACTTGACGACTCATTATCGAGGAATGAATCGTGTACTTGGTCGGGATACTTACCTTCGGTGTATATATTAACATACCCTACCTGGTAGTAACTCGATCAGCAAAACCAAAGCCTGATGTGTTAACTTCGTTGATGGACCTCGTTTAGCATAATTATAAATGTGTAACTAATCCCTATTACAGGCCTCCGACTTTCTGGAATCCTGGATACCTACCTACCTACCTGTTAGACTGATTGGGCGATAGGTGCTCATGATGGAGGTCGTACAATACATAGAGCAGTGTCAGGGTAGTTAATCACCCAGTAATTATATTGATGACCTGGTAGCGTCTGGCCCTCCGTTGTTTTACTCAGGCACTATGAGCCCCTTACATCCATGAGCCGGTATACTCCTGTGTATACTGTACCTCTAAAAATCAGCCTCAACTGGCGGAGAGCGTAGATAATAATCCTGTCGCGTCGCAGAGCATTCAAATCCACGATAATTATCAAGGGACTTCAGAATAAGAAATGTACCTAAGGCTAGAACTCTAACAGATGTCGAGCTTATAAGCACAAGCTGCGTAACTCTAGATGACGACGAATAGAGCCGCGTGGTTCAAGCAAGGGGCGATGTGTTCGATAGGAACGTTGCGTTCTGCAGAATTCAATTGGCGGCCTCCGCGTTCTTACACCCTCACACCTCAGCCCTGAACTCAAAGTCGTAGCTAATAGTCTCGTGTTTCGGTGCCCTCACTCATGTCTTTAAAACCAATAGAAACCCGATACGTAGCGTAGCGTACACCTAAGCACATACGCCAGGTGGTGCAGGCAACTTGGATATATCCATCTTACATAGTATATACCTACCTCCTACCTAACCTACCTGTTAGGTACCTAAGTTTGATGTTCTAGACTCGGAGTCCGGATGCTGCGGAGGATGCGTCCGTAAGCGTATCACCACATTACCTATCGCATATCTCTAAGCCTCGCGGGGAATGACGACGACTCGGCATCGTGGTGATTGTCAAGGTTATGCTATCATAACGTCGATAGCATTACTTCATCTATATTTTTTTATGGCTTCTTTCAAGTGAACTACGAATGCGCCATATATATGACGTATTTTAGGGGGAGTTGGCTTTTATACAAACAATGCCATACGCACATGTATTATACAATACCTTACGCATAAGGCATGTTTTGTACCGCTTTCAACTAGCGATGCAGGGAGTGCAGCAGCGCAACAGCACAACTGAACTATAATTTAGATAAGCTACCGTACATTAGGTACGTATTGGCTGCTGTTTGTAAATGCACCATGCATGTAGGTATGCATTTTGTGTATGCATTAATTAATTCAGATACGGAATACAGCTAGGTAGGCAATCGTAAGTTGAAGGGTCTTGCTGGGTAGAAAGGGTCCGGATGAAGCTTCTTTTCGCGCTATATCAGGCTATTCGGCAGAGCTAATCTCAATTGGGTAACTAGCTCTTCCAATAGCTTCGCCAGTGTCGTCATGTTGCTCCACTAGGCGTTGGTTCGTGCCCACCTTTGACGACCTTTGACGACCTTCTTTCGATGATCAACACACTTTCACACTCTCACATTTTCGGGGGAGACCTTCAACTATTTTATATTTTTTTTTATTGTTTTGTTTTTTCATCTTCCTCCCTTTTCTTGTTCGTCAAGGAAATAAAATCCTTGCAAAAAACACATTACTCGATCTTGCGATAATATCACTCACTCATATACCCCCCCCTTAAATACTAATCGATCTGAATTGCAGATCAAGACCGAAAAGAAAAAGACCGCAAGAAAAAAAAACCCCCCCAAAAGGAGCGGGAAACGAAGCCAATCGATATCTACCCACTCAGCTACCCGACCGCCTTTCATCTGAAAGCCGTCTTCCGGATTCGTATTCAAGACAACCTAATCTGAGAAATTGTGTCTTGGCTTTAGTTTCTCCTGGAAACGAAACATTGTCTTAGCAGCCAGTTGTCGAAAAAAAAAAAAAAAAACTAAGGTACGTGCTACCCATCTGTCATCTTATTCCCCCTTACCCTGTTCTATGTTTAATGCCAGATGCCGGAATGTCAGCCATACTTTAGGTTTCCCGCTTCCGCCAAATGCAAAATTTCAATTTTAATTTTTTCAAAGTTTGCGCCTTGAAGTCTAACATTTCCAACCTGTAGGCTGCAGCTACATTCAGTCATACAGGTAGCTATTTGATGCCATAAGTCACCTTTGCGAACTGCGATCCGGTCTGGCCGGTCAATCACATCCAAGATGGCGCGTTCCAGTAAGTCTAGCAATTGCCTCTTTACTCAACTATGTGACATCGCTAATATCTCCCCAAGACGCATATCTCGCGCCTCTCTCTCTCATATTCCTCGCCGGCTCCCTGGTGATGCTTTTCTTCGTAATCCTGTCGGCCGTCACTACCACATCACCCTTGAGACAAACCTACTTCCTATCTGCCCAGACCGGCGGCATAACAGGCGCCCGCCAAGTTACCCAATGGGCCTACTTCTACATCTGCGGTGAAGGCAACACCGACTGTAGTGTTGCATGGCCCGCGCCTCCTCTGGGTTGGGCCTGGTCCGCGAACCCGGCTAATGCGCCCTCTACTCTGGTCGGCACCCATGGCGGCGACACTACGAGCTTTTACTACTACTATATGTGGCGATTCGGCTGGGTCTTCTACCTGATTGCGCTGGTATTCTCGGTCATTGCCTTCTTTGCGGGCTTCGTAGCGTGCTGCGGACGCCTAGGCTCTGCCATTGCAGGATTGGGAGCTTTCGTCGCCCTCTTCTTCCACACTATCGCCGTGTCGATGATGACAGCCGTCTTCGTTAAGATGCGTAACGCGTTCATTGCGAGCGGCCGTGATGCAAGCCTCGGACGATGGGCCTTCGGCTTCAGCTGGGGCAGCTGGGCCGCCTTGTTAATCGCCACGATACTCTTCTGCCTCGGCATCCGTGGCAGCAACAGCGAGGGCTCCAGCGGTCGTAGATGGGGCCGCCAGAGGAGCGTGCGCAGTCGCCGAAGTTACGATATGAACGGTCGACGCGTAAAGGAGGAGTACGCCTAAACAACATACCCGGGGCTGGTAGTAACGAGGACGAATCCAACACCAAAACACGAAAATTTTACCATTGAGAATGGAGATAAAAATTAAGAAAGTCAAGAAAGTCAGACCCTGAGGAATGAAATAAGAGGAACGAACGGAAGATGATTTTGAGAATACGCGTACTACCTCACGCCTCAAAGTTTTATATGCTTTTTTACACGAGGCTCGGCATAATGGATAATGACGATAATGACCGACGCAGAGTTTCGTATGAGGTACTGTGCGCTGGGACATGAGGGAAGAGCAAATGATAAGCAGACATGCAGACGTACGGATGGATGGACAGACGGACTGACTGACGGGAGAAACAGTGGAGGATGTAATAATTCGAGATACCACAGCCGCAAACTAACACACCTCCTTATGCTCTATCGCATGCTCGAGGTGCTTTGTTTGTGCTTACTCGGTCGTTATGGTAGATGATTAATTGATTGACTATATGGCCCAATCTGTGTACAAGCCTCGAGGCAAATGATGGCAGTGAATGAACGATGTGCTGATGTTTGCTATAAAGTTATGTACCTAACCTACCTATTGATTGCCTCCTGTAGCATTGATAAAATACAATAAATGTGATACCTGCCGAAAAGTGAAGTTGAGCAGAGCTTGAAAGTTCTGCTCATGAGACTTGTGGTATGACATGATGGTATGGTATGGTATGTCTCCAAGGAAACATAAGGAGAGCCAAGTAGTAAGTAATAAAGCTCAGTTCTTCTAACTACCAAGAACATGGTTGGCGGTTAGATAGATAGGCCCCGTTTTCCTTTCGAGTATACATACTACATACTGCTTACTACCTATATCATGGCTTGGGAAACGATCGAGCAATTGCACATACGTATAATAGCTGTTGCGCGCGCGCGTAGACTCCTGAGTACCACGTCATAGCATAGCATAGCATATCGTATCATATCATATCAAATCACTTCTCTCATCCGCGTTTTCCCAATCTTTATATTTATCGTATCTGACCTAGCGTACCTTAGGTATGTACTTACTTTCCTTTACCTCTGTCTTCCAACCACTTCGACGACAACATATTCTCTCTCCCTCCCTCTCTCTCTCCCTCCCTCTCTCTCTCCCCTAGCCACCGTACTCCTCATTCGTAGTATAACGCAGTGAGGGGGACATATATGACTGAGCCGAGAGGGTAGTGCCCTGGCGGGACAGTCAAATCAAATTTCCCATTGAAGACCTAATATCTTGTTCAATCCTCTCTGCTCTGCTCTGCTCCGTTCCGCTCTGATATATCTTGTCTGCTCTGCTTCAATCGACCTCTTGAGATATCCTTTCCATGTTAGGTACCAAATTTACTTCTTTCTTCCGACCCTTATAACTCCGATGCGGAATGCGAATTCCCCTTCTTGTTTCTGCAAAGCATCATCCACCAGTACGAATGTGAGAAAGAAAGAACACGTAAACGAGAAGGACATGAAAGAAAAAAAAAGGCATCTCTTGCAAGACGAAGCAAGTTAGGTTGTTTGAAAAAAAAAAAAAAAAAAAAAAAAAAAAAAAAGACAGAAAATTATCCGGCTCTCTTTATTTCTTTCTTTCCCTCCGCGTTGCGCGCGCAATGCCAATTATTAAGTAAGATTTCAGAAGAGTTCAAGAAGAAGAAGAAGAAGAGGTAGAAAAGTGGGATAGGTAATGACAAAGAAGTGTTACAATGGTTGCATAGAACGAAGAGCCCCTATCTCCCGGCCACCAAAAAAAAAGAATTCTCTCCCGATTTCTTTTCTTCTCCCATCGGCCGTTCTTTTTGTATAATAGCACACGGATCGAATCCCCCCCTTCGCAAGTCGCCCAGATGTAATAGCCTATCCTCCCCTCCCCCCTTCTTTTAAAAAAGCCCCCAATCCCGAATACGTATACAGGGACTCCTCGTTTCGCCCAAAACAAATGCCATTATTTCGATGGAAACACTTCAAAAGATCCTTTTGTTGCGGAAAAGAGAACACGATGTGAGATAGGTAGAAATGCTGAGACAGTGCTGCCGCCCCTGGCTTCGCTATGTGTGCATGTGTGTGTGTGCTGAACCAAATTTGTACGCCGAATAAATGCTATGTTCTCCAAAGTGATCGTGAGGGAAAATTGGGGAGGACCTGCTCCACCATGTCGCGAGATGATCCTTCCCTTCGCTCTTGTGGTCTAATGGAAAAAATGCCTTTGCAAAGTACCATATTATCTCTATTTTCCAATCTGCGGACTGGCTAGCGGGCTCACCGCATCCAGCGGTGCATGGTGGAGTGCTGGCAGCCCTTCCGCCTCGCCATACTGCCCGTTTTCCTTCTTTTCTAATACCTCGTTGACCCATGCGGCCACCTCTGCGTCTTCCGTACTGGAGTGGCTGAGGTCTAATTTCCCAGCTGCGCCGGCAACGGCTTCAGCACTAGCGTCGTTCTCGTTAATTTCCTCGTCTTCTTCTGTGATAGTCTCTGGCTTCGTCAAGTCTTGAATCCACTCGGAAGCTAGGAGAGCCTGGTATGTTGGTCGTAATTTAGGCACCTTGTTGAGACAGCCGTGAACGAATGCCCGTGCAGCTACGGAATACCGTCCAGGCAAATCGGGAGGATCTCCTTCGACAATGGCCTACACAATGACGTTAGTTTTCTTCAATTTGAGTAGACTTATGTCAAGCGGTCTACTTACGCTAAGCTGGCTGAAAATGGTCGAAGACACCTCTGGAGGATAGGGATACTTCCCCATACCACATTCGATGATTGTCAGACCCAAACTCCATATGTCACTTTGCACGCTATATGTGCCGTTTCCCGCACCGGTTTGCATGAATGCTCCGCCGGAGATTCGCTCGGGTGCCATGTAACTTTGGCAGCCGATGTTGGTTTTCGCGATGCTTGCCACCAGATTACCACTCACGCCAAAATCGCAGATCTTCACTTGGCCTCGAGTGTTTATGAGGATATTCGTGGGCTTGACGTCGCGGTGGATGATATTGTGCTTATCTTTCAATTCTTTGAGTCCCATTATAGTGCAGTACGTAATTTTACGAAGCACATTCTCGGGGATGCCTCCCGAGTAGAGTTTGTCGATAGAACCACCATCCATGTATTCGAGACACATATACACAGCACTTTCTTGGAAGAAGGCCCCGAAGAACTCGATAATATACGGGGACGCGCATTCGTGCAAGATCACCAATTCCTTCAGAATGGTGGTCAATTTCGCCTCATCCAACTCTAGGCGTATCTCTTTCATGGCCATGACCATACCGGTAGTAGACTCAGACTTAGTCTCTCTATCTGTCTTGTCTTGCGTGCCCGGTAGGGAGACGGATCTAACCCCAGAAAGGCCGGGGCCAAAGCGAGGAATCTTCGGTTTCATGTGCTTCACCTTATAGACTGTACCATAATTCCCCTTTCCTAACTCATCCAGCTTCTCTACTTCGTCAAGCGATATTCTGAATACGGAGCCGTCCGAGAAATCGACTCCCTTGTTGGTAATGATCGCTTTGCCCCTGAATGTTAGATATCCCTTTTCAGAGTCGATATATTCTTCGAATTGCTTCATTTGTGACAGGTGGGCGTTTCCGTTTGAGAGATTCTCCGGTTTGGGACCGGTATTGGCGTCCGCGGACACGGGAGAAGCGGGCGAACCCCCGCCCATATCCCCAAGCTTAAATCCAAACCGTCTCTTGCCTGCTAGACCTCCACCAGCAGGGGGTATTGAGGGTATAGAAGGTGCCGATTTGGGAAACGAAGGCGCGCCAGGTCTATGAACACCCCCAGGCATTTGAAGACGTCCAGGTATGCCACCCATCACCGGACCACCCGGAGAAGGACCGCTGGGTGGGATGGCCTGCTGGGAATTTAGAGGAGAGCTGCCCTGACGCGACAGGTGGAAAGCTCGCATCTTTGCGTTCAGATCTTCGGGCAGACGACCGCTCGACATATGGGGCGTAGCAGCGGCGGCGGCGGCTGGGGGACGTCTTGCAGTGGACAAAATGCCTAAGTGAGTGGAGGAAGCAGACATTGGATGTCCTGGATTCTGGGGGTCGGAGATGGAGCGTAACGACGGCATCCTCTTAGGTGCCTCGAGATTGACTTCATTGGGGGTTTCGAGAGGTGTGCTTGCTTCTGAAGAGTTGATAGAACCGGGTGAGGCGGGGCTACCTAGTACGTCCCTATCAATCAGTTCGTCGGGCGTTGCGGGAACCGAGTCCAGATCGTCATGTACGTCGGTCATTGTGAAAGAGAGAGAGAAGGGGGGGCGGGGGGGCGATTTAGAATAAAGGAAAGAAGGTATTCTAAGGGCGCGCCTCTACTATCATGACCGAGCGATGGTTCTGGACAAAGTTGTCTATTGCTGATATAGTGGAGTAGAAGGCGGTCTGGTGGGATTGGTTTTTTTTTTTTCGGCTGGTTTGGCGGGGAATAGCGCAACCCGACGTTTAATAATAAAAATAATAGTAGTGATGACAATAATAAAATGACGATAGAACAAGTTCGGCGACGAAAACGAAAACGCGGGTCAGGTTGGGCGTCTAAGGTTCGAATAAAAAAATACACATGAAAGTGGCAAAGATGCAATACCGATTCGTCGACACAAGGGTCTGAGTCGTTCTATAATAACAGATATTTTTTTTCATTAGCTGTCTGCACCTATTGTACCTAGGCTTATCCACGGAATCGGAGCCAATGCCGGACTCTTCGGGTAGACATGGTAAGGTATGGCTAAGGTAAAGGTAAGGTAAGGCAGGGTAAGGTAGGGTAGGGCAAAAAAAGGTGATAAAGGACTGGCTGATTGACTGGATGATTGATCGATTCATTGGGTTCCATCTCGGACAACCACCTTAGGTTTATTCGTCTGGCAGCCCGAAAGCAAAGCACAGCACAACTGATCCATTGTAGGGCTGCACGAACCTGGTCAATTCCGAGACACTAGCTTAAGCTGCCCAATTGTGATTTTCATCAAATCGTTTAAGGTCTCGGTAGCGTGTACCTAATGACGGCTAATCTTTCCGTCTTTTTTTTTCTGAGGTGGAGTAAAAGAGAAAGATAGTTGAGATGAAAAGAAGTAGGAGTGGTAGCGTATGTGAATAAAAATGTGGATATGCTAGGTATGTAGGTATGTATATATGTGTATATGATTGAATATGCGAATGTGAATAAATATGTGTAATACGTAGTTCAATGTGTAATAAATGGTGGAAGATAATAGTGAGAAGGATGTGTACCTATAAGAATTGTTGTTGTTCCAGTTGTATGGATGTATGTATGTAATACCTAAGGGTTTTTTTTTCTTCTTGTTACTGACGAAACGTCCAACTGGGCGGTCGACGCTTGAAATCGCACCACTTATAGGTGTCGACTATATAATGCGAAAATAGAGCTCTCCGTTAGAAATTACGCATATTGTGAGATTTGCGGATTGCAGATCGTGCAACTTTAGACGTGTCTTCTCTTCCTTGGACCCTGAAAACCAAGACTTTTTTTTTTTCTTTTTTGTTGTTAGACGAGGGGTGTGGGTTTGATGAAGGAGACGATGTTCAACTACCTAAGTTCCCGTGTTAAGTTTATAGTAGTAACGAGTTGTACATTTTAGTGGTTGGCTTATGAAGGATGCCCCGCGATTCTTGGTTTCAGAGATGCTGAATTAACCCTGCTACCCTACTGTAAATCTTCACGTGCTTGGGATAATAAGTACGAAACAATGATGGCCTATTCTATTTGCAGATCATTAAAGATCCAATTCTTGTCAAACTCGATCCCATATGTTGCTCTTTTCCCTTTAACTTCCCATAATTACTAACCACTGGACAGACGTAATTGATCTACACGACTGCATTATCGGTAAACAACGCTACCTGAGGTATCATGGCATGGGTGGTACGATTGATGAAAGGACCCTGACGGCGACGAGGAGAGAAAAGCTATATCCTTGACGTCATATTTACAGGGCGACCAAGTTCGAAGACCGGTTCCATAGGCTGTCATGGCTGCATGGCTGCATGGCCGCATACCAGTACGTATAGAGCCGAATAGGGTAATTTGGAGAAGTACAAGGTTCAAATGAGGTAAATACCTAAAGTTGTTGGCGAAAACCTGAAGCCCTACCTTATGCTTACAGGTAGGTGGGGAAGCATTGCAATTATCATGAGCCAATTTGCAGATGCAGTCAGGGAACAAATCTGGCTATAAAAATGTATGCTGGAGGTATGCCTGGCATACCTGTATACCTGTAATACATCACCAACGCTTATAAACCAATACCAATGCAGACAACCGCTGGTGATCTTTTCCTCTATGATAGCTAGTCACCCCGCAAATGATGCTGTCAAAGTTGGTAATGCAACGTGCGTAGATCTCGAGCTGCATATAATTCCAACGTGATGTAAGCTCGTTAAAGCGTCCTCACTACCTGCTAAAGGCTGCACATACTTAGGTACTTATTAGTTACGTATTAAGCACCGCGCTGCGGCATTGGATAATAAGGTTAGGTAGGGAATAAAGGCAAATTGATACCACATTCAGTTGGAAGTGTAGGTATGTGTATGCGCATTACATGCACTATGAATTATTACATAATCCCCTGCATTACGTATTGTACCTTACGTTAGGTACCTAAGGTAGTACACAACCCACAAGATAGAGCTGATAAGGTCAAATAACGCTGCCTTATCGCCACTATCGTCATTACCCCAATCAGAACTTATCAACTACGTGTAAACAGAGGCAAGCAGGCATTGCGGCGTTACTCTTTAACAGGTTGTATTGTCAAATTGTTAATGTAGGCTGGAGGATCGGAGATGTGGCTATGAGACCCAAGACTTACTATGCGGTAACATTACGTTGTCTATTATGAGCTGGCTTTACATGCTCTGCTGTTCGTGGCTATGCTTATATAGTAGGTTCTGTCCGGTCAACCTCAGACGTCATCGTGGTTCGGAAACCGTACATATCATGTTAGTACCCGCGCATCACCTTAGGTACGTCCACTACATAACTACGGATAATACGTTAGGTATTATACCTGATATTACCTACCTTGAGCTAACTGCGTTGAGTCAATTCAAATACAAGCTCACACTTTGCGGTTTCCAGATATATAAGTTATACCTACCTAAGGTATGTTCCCGTCGTGAATTTACAGAATTCTTCGTCACTACCAAGGCTTCCGAGAAGACGGAGATGCGGACTAAAGTTGAGCAAGCGATCAGGAGCAATTAGCGACTGGACGGGTTGTATGCCGCCAAGCTAAACTTGACTTGAAATATGTAAGTCGCCGGTCAAATAAATGACCTCTCAGCGCAACGTACCGAGCAAGACATACTTGGCAGAAGTCGTCATCATTGCACACCGGCAGGCTTCTTCAGTAATATCGTAGACCAACGCCACCGACCCCAAAGCTAATTGTCATTTAGAGAAGCGCTACAGCGTACCTAACGAATAATTCCATTTACACTACTTTGTAAACTAATCGCACCATCGTAGAAGACGGATCTGCGCTTATAATTATAATTTATAGGAGGTAACACGCTACCTTAGGTACTTACCTACCTACGTGGTACCTGCCTAACCTTCAAGAGAAGATACTGTACTTAAGAACAAAGAAGAGATCTTTTTCTTTCTCTGATTGATATGATTAGATATCGACCGTATTAATGTGATAATTATAAGGGCAATACAGAGCCAAGAGGCCAAGACAGAGGAGTCATGGCGTGCGGTTACAATTGCTTCAAAATATGTAACAAGAAAATTACTATGCACATATTAGGTAGTACCTAGGTAGGTATGTATGTATGTAAATGAGGTCTCCAATGTGGTAGGATCGTTTTTATCCTCTGGCTTGCGCTGCAACTCTAATTCATTTAACCCCCACACCTGCGACGAGGTGGCTCCGAAGAGCAGTCTTGGTACGGGCTTGGCAGTCTTGGTACCTTACTAACCCCAATCAATTAGCGTAGAACATCCATTCCCAAATTTGTTTTATACAGTGGACCTGCAGGTCTTGCCGCACAGGTACAACCCGGCCATGCACCGGAAGCCTCAGCCAGCCTTGAAGTACTACCCAACGCTACCTACCTCCTACCTCATACACTACATGATGATACAGCATACAGCGGTACAAACGGACGCTAACCACCACAAGGTATTCGCTCCAATGTTTCACTATGAACTTTATTGTGACTTATCGCGTTCGAGATCTCTAGCGCACATCGCTAAGATCAGCAGTACCGACGATGTACCATGTATTTAGGTTAGGTAAGGAGGTACGGTACCTTCCGTCGAGGTAAGGTACCTACACCTAAGGTATTCTTCGGAGGACAAGGTCCTTCGATTCGCTTTTTTTCCTTTTAATTGTTTCTTATTCACTCGATCGATTCTTCTCGGCACCGCTGCCAACTCATATCTTAATAAAGACAAAGTAGCTCCGGCCAAGCAAAGCCGGTGAATTACTTGTTTTCCCCTTCTTTCATCAAACTTCTGTATTATTTATCATCCTTTTCTCCCCCCCCTTTATATTTCTCCTCGACCTCTATTCTCTACCACGGTACATCTTGGCGACTTTGCAGCTGGTCTGAATACCTAACCAGCGCTGGATTTCTAGACGAAATCAACATATAATCGCTGTTTCGTGCTAGAGGTTGTGGACCCTTTGCGGTGCAATATAATCGAAGAAAGTGTAGTTTTTTCTTCGGTGACTATTTTAACTAGCCAAACGAGATGATAGATCTATCAATATCCAAACCGACTTCCTTCCGGTTTAACAATGCCTTGGTAAACTGGACTCCCAACGTGCCAATGATGGCAATGGAAAACACTCACGATTCTCATCCGTCTATCGACCACCTTATCTTGTTGGTCTTCGAGGCCGTGTTGGAAGTCGTTTGCGTGAGCTTGCCTGGATATATCATCGCGAGGTTAGGACATTTCGACGCCGACAAGCAGAAATTCCTCGCGAATCTTAATGTCATGTTATTTACCCCATGCCTAAGTATGCGCATATGGCCGTGTTCTCATTCTCTCGGTCTTGCACTAACGAATAAACAGTTTTCACCAAACTAGCATCGCAGCTCAATGCCGATAAACTTATCGACCTCGCAGTCATACCCTTCATTTTTATCGTCCAAACCTGTGTATCTTACGTGGTATCCATATGTGTGTCGAAAGCATTCCGCTTTAGCAAGCGCCCAGCGAATTTTGTTACGGCTATGGGTGTATTTGGAAACTCGAACTCGTTACCAATTTCTCTCGTCATTTCGCTTTCGCAAACTCTGAAGGGGCTCCACTGGGACAGGATACCAGGCGACAACGACGACGAAGTAGCCGCACGCGGTATCTTATATTTGTTAATATTTCAGCAGCTCGGGCAATTAGTCAGATGGAGCTGGGGATATCACGTTTTATTGGCGCCTAAGAGTAAATACCCGGAATATCAGGATGAGACTATAGAAGAGGGTAGATATAGAGATGATGTGCCTCGAGACGAAGTTCTGATTCCGGGTCTTGACGGAAACTTTACCGAGACTGATGACCATAATGATTCCGACGGTTCGGACGAGTCGGACGTATACGAACCGGCCGGTCCGACTCCAGTTGCTGGAACATCTATAGCATCGCCCTCCGATTCAGATGACGAGGCCGGCGCACCGAGAAAACGGTCAACAAGAAAGCATGGTAGCGGTAGTCGTTCTCCTGACGACCACTCTGGAACGTCGTCTCCTCGCATACAGGACCTGAGCGATCCGAATATTCCTAGCGGCCTCAAAGGATATTACGTGGGCCCCTGTCTTAGGATCAAGAATGCTATGGTATCTATCAAGCAACGCATCGCTCAGCTTTCTACCCGCGCATACAAAGCGTTACCTCTTCCGATCCAAAGTGTCCTGGCCACGATATGGGGATGGTGGCTCCGAGTATATAACTTTCTCTGGGACTTCATGAACCCGCCACTATGGGCTATGCTCATCGCCATCGTTGTAGCTTCTGTACCTGATCTACAGCGGCTTTTCTTCCAAGAAGGCACATTTGTCAACAACAGCGTAACAAGAGCAGTATCCCAAAGTGGTAGTGTCGCGGTGCCCCTTATTCTGGTTGTCCTGGGTGCCAACTTAGCGCGAAACACGCAAGCACAAGAGACTAGTGATCCTGAAGAGCAACGGATCGGGAAACGCCTCCTTATAGCTTCGCTGATCAGCCGCATGCTACTACCTACCATCATCATGGCGCCTATTCTGGCCGTTGTTGCCAAATATATACCCGTTAGCATACTTGACGACCCGATTTTTATTATCGTCTGTTTTCTTCTCACGGGTGCTCCGAGCGCTCTGCAGCTTGCGCAGATCTGTCAGATCAACGAAGTATACGAAGGGGTCATGTCAAAGATCCTGTTCCAGAGTTACGTTATCTGGTAAGTTACAGCATACTATGTCTTGTTTGAGGTATGAGAATTAACAGTTTCTAGGATCCTCCCTTCAACGTTAGCGCTTGTCATGATGGCACTGGAAACGGTAGAGTGGGCACGATAGTGAAAAGTTTAGTTGTTCACTATTCGATCTCTTGTACGCTTGTATTATAATGTGCGATGTCCGGGGAAAAAAGGAAAAGCAAAGGAAAAAATTGCTCGAGTGATGGGTTGCGGCGTAAGGATGGGGAATTATTAGCTTTGTGTCTTAGTGAAAACCTAAATACCTCGACCGAGTGCGACACACGCCCGACTCATAAATTGCCATGATGGATGCTTGGCACGGAGAGGATCGTTGGATAGGATAGGATCGATATTCACCGAGAGTCCGAGGTATTTTCGCACTTGAAAGGGCTGACCTCTCTTTACCTGGGAATTAGGTTGCTTGAGGCTCGTGAGTATAATAGCTATAAATGAATAGCTTTGTGTATTATTTATTTGATAATGACAAATCGCGGTCTGGGATTTGTAAATATAGTGTGTTTTGTATATAAGCGTTATAAAGGACGGCGTTGAGCTTAAGCTCATTTACCAGACCAAAGTCCAGAATCCAAATACCGAATGGGAATTGTGAATTGCGATATGTGTACCTAAGGTAGATAACACGGGTCCCACCATACGATATGGAAATCACTAGGTTAGGTAGGTAGGCACATTGGCTGCTGCCTACCAAGGTAACGCCATTATTTAATGAAAAAAATGATGTAACTTTCAATTCATTCAATCTTCAACTTATATTTTGCTACTTTTTTGAAACCGTAGAGAATTAGCATTTCGACGCTTAGTTTTACATTATATTGACAAAGTCTATTCACTTTTTCTTTTTCTTTTGTTTTTTCTTAGAAAAAATATAAATAAATAAATTGATCTATTAAGACTCCAACTCCAACATCAACAAGGCCAAAAACCATTCCCACGGCCGAAGATGGGTCAGGAAACATCGCATCTCATCGACCCGAACATGCCGCCGGATACTCTATCTGATAGAAGTATCCGTGCTGTCGCACAGTTAATCAAAGATGGCAAAGCAAAAAATATCGTCGTCATGGCCGGCGCTGGTATCTCTACCGCGGCTGGAAGTGAGTCTGACCCTTTTTTTATACTCTTATCTCATCTCATCTCATCTTATATGAATACTGTCATATCATCATTATCACATCTACTTAAGTTCCATACCTATTGCCAGCCTTGTCGCATAACAATACCCTTACTTATCACCATGTAGTACCCGACTTTCGTTCCCCTAAGACGGGACTATACCACAATCTTTCTCGCTTCAACCTCCCACATCCCGAATCTGTCTTCGAGATTAGTTTCTTCTGCACCAACCCGGAGCCTTTCTACTTGTTGGCCAAGGAACTGTACCCGGGTAACTTCAGCCCGACGGTCTCGCATGCATTTATTGCTCTGCTGGCTAAGAAGGGCCTGCTTCGTATGTTGTTCACCCAGAACATTGACTGTCTGGAGCGCGCCGCCGGTGTTCCTCCGGAGAAGATAGTCGAAGCTCACGGAAGCTTTGCTACCCAGCGGTGCGTAGAATGCCACACCGAGTTCCCCGATGACTTGATGCGCGAGCACGTCACCCGCGGCGAGCCCCCGCGCTGCATTCGCGAGGATTGTAACGGCCTCGTCAAGCCGGACATCGTCTTCTTCGGCGAGCCGCTCCCCAAAGCGTTCTGGAAGAACATCTTTGCGACTGATACCACCGACCTAATGCTTATTATGGGCACCAGCTTGCTCGTGCATCCGTTCGCCAGCTTGCCGCGCCGCGCGAAGGAAGGCACGCCGCGGGTGCTTTTTAACCTTGAAAGGGTGGGCGACATGGGCACGCGCGTGGACGACGTCCTGGTTCTCGAGGACTGCGACTCCGGGATCCGGAAGCTGGCGGACGAGCTGGGGTGGCGCGACGAGCTCGAGGCGTCGTGGAGGGCTGTGGTAGGGGAGGAGGAGGCGAACCGGCAACTCTCCAAGACGCGGAGAGAGGAGGGGATCCTCGACGAGCTGGAGAAGCTGGTCGAGGACGTGGATAATAAGTTGGGCATTTCCGAGGGTGGCGACGGCAAATCCGAGGCTAACGTCGCGAAGCAGGGAGAGGGTGCAACGGCTGGTGGATCGAGCAAACCGGATACTATTCAGGAGAGCGGTAAGGAGAGCGCTGCGCCTGGTGATGCAGCACAGCTCGTGGACGACGGCGAGACGGTTCCAGAGAAGAGCGCTGAGGAAGAAGGTCGCAAGGAAGATCGGAAGGGGGAGGGAAAGGACGCGGAGGCCCTAGACCAAGGTAACGCAAAGATGAGCTATGAGCCCATGCCACCTACGAAGGAGAAACCTGTTACGGAAGAGGATGGGCTCAAGACGGAGGATAAAGGCGACGGCGATAAACCTGCGCTATAGGCTTGCCTTTAGGGGGTTTGGCGTGGTATATACTTAGATGAATCAGGTACATATACTGGGCGGTGATGAGACTTTGGTGTCGGCTTGCGGGTTTCGATTGTTGAGTTCGGGCTGGTGGATCGCGAATCGCATACAGATCGATATAGGCATTATTCTGCACGGGGGATAGGTTGGTGACCATGCATATATGTTTGGAGGGAGGAGAGAGAGAGAGAGAGAATATATACCCACTACCTAGGTCAGTGTTCTATGATGTGATAGAGATGAGTAACTAGGTTCTTTTTGGTTGGTCTGCAATTAGATATCTACACATAAAGAGGCGGTACCTATACAGTAAATAAGGGCTGAGAAAAGATATATAGGAAAAGGCTGTTCGAACAGACAGCGTTTCCTAGGGCTTCGTTTGTAAGAGACGGTGTAGTTACATATATCTGCATGCACCTCTCAACACTCAAAGCATCTGGAATCGGATATCGAGATAGATATTGTTTCCTTAGAAGCCTACAGGTAGGTATCTAAATGCATAGTACCGTTTCTATAACCGACAAGGGCGGCGGAATAACATGTATCTAGTACCTAACGTCGATGGCTAACTAAACTATATTACATAGTATATTCGTCACTACCTACCTAGGTACATATACTAGTATTCTACATAATAATAGAAAACAAGAATCTATTTTAGAATCCTCGCCTCTGACATAGGTCAGACATAGGGCAACGATAGCATCAGTTCATAGCAAACTGGGTGTCGTTGGTAGAATCTCAGTAAGGAAACTCTGATGTAATCCGGAGCGAAGTTCTATAAGAAAAATAATAACCGTGCCGTTGTTTCCCAGATACCTCTATTAATAGGAGAGAACCAATACCTAGTTCTACTCGGTCTAGTTACATCCTATTGCAAGCTGTTGTTTACCAAAGCAATAGTCGGTTGATACCTGTTACACTGGGTAGGGCCTAGACCAGCCACATCACTGGTCTCATCCCACGCACCATTATCGCCGAGACATGCATGCAACGGCCTGGATTTCTTCTTCGAGATGCGTTGTATGCGATCGCGGATGAGATCAATACTAGGTAGCTTCCCACGATATGCTATACTTCTTTTAAAAAATGACCGGCTACCTACCTGTTACTATAAGAAGAAAGATGGTAGGCTAACTTATGGCGCCGGACTTTTCGTTAGGGTACCGCCGGGTATATTTTCGGACACTTGGATCTTTTCTAAGTTCCTTTTTTTTTCCTAGTGTATATTCGTAATAATACAGTAAAACCTTGATATAACGAATTCATAGGAGGTCTCCCAGAATTTTGTATGTAAAATAACGAATTTTTTTACATAACGAATTCGTAAGGTTTTTGGATTAGTCACCACCAAATTCGTTATGAAAAAAAGCAATTTATCCCATTTTAAGCTTGAACTAATCTTATTTCGGTAAAGGACTTTCTTAAATTCGTACAATGCTTACCCTTTTCAATAAGATGAGCTAAGCGCTTTACCCTTTTGGGAAATACTTCTTGATGTATCTTTTTTTTCCATAGCGAATTCACTATATAACGAATTCAACCCCCTGATTTTTCCAATTCGTTATATCAAGGTTTTACTGTACCCTATATTGCCACGTGCACTAGCCAGGGACTAGGTTCCGGAATGCTATCGCTTGTCTATATATATATATAATATGGTGTAGGTATACGATACTTCGTACGAGAAGCCGAATGCGATGGCAAGGCAGGGGACGACATGCTCAGAGACTATTGGTTCGGGGGCCGCCCTGGAAAAAAAATGAATGACGGTGGTGATGTCTACCCTAAGTCTGCGTTCGGTGGTGATAGCTAGCGTCGCTGTTTCACCTAATAAGTCTCATCCGGCCAAGCCTAGCGAATCAAAGATAGGCAGCACGAGGTTGTCGACATGAATGAATCTTATAATCACACAATTATAAGTCCTGAAGCATCGGGGGTTATGTTAGATGGGGAGAGTCTAAAGGCGGCACGCGCTTGATATTCGAAACTACACCCTCTAGAACTACGGTTTGAAAGTTCGACTTGGTTAGCAAAGCATACTATGTAGTATCATGTTAGACCGTTTTAGCAGGGTTAGTAAATGTGACAATGGCTCGGATGGCTCCGAGTTCCATATATAATTTGGATAGTTTCCTACCCCTGCTCTATTTTCTTGTCTTTTGTCTTTTTTTGTTTCCTTTAGCCTTTGTTATGTCGTTGACACGTAGATTTTCAATCCGCCAAATCTTACGGTACCAATAACATTTCCAAGCCGACGATGTAGAAAATATTATCTCAAGTTGGAAGATTTCTATCTTTATTCTCGTTCGTATGAAGTGGGTATTGGAAGTTAATATGATGCCTCTTTAACTAATGGTTTAATACAACTAAAGACGTGAATATGACCGTTGTAAATTAGTTTAATGCGGCCTTACCGATAAATCTTAAGAACTCATGCATTAGGGAGGGAGGAGGATGGGATGGATATATGGAATCTAATGGGAAGAAAAAAAAAAGGACACGATATATATCAAATAAATAGGATGACTAACTAATTTTGTTCTCATCTTATAGTACATAACTTCATCCACATCGAATCTCGAAGATTTTGCTCCGTTTGTCTAGATTGATGAAAATCTTCAACGGTTTAATGATGGTCACTGTTCGCAGAAAAGCATGTGCGGACAAACCAACAGTTCGAACAATTCTAGCTACCTTTCTAGCTTTGAGCTACTCAAAGCTACTACCCCCTGCCAAGACCAGCAAGGATCTTTTCCTATTCCCTGTCAAGCTGTTCCCCTAAATTTTATGGAGCGTTGTCCCCCTTGTTCCTTGTCTCTTCATGGACCCTTTTCCTTTTCGGGGGCCCTACGCCCTCGCGATGCATGGAATTAAGACATCAATTCTCCAAATTTGAACCAAAATGGTACGCAGAAAGAGTTTGTCCCATAGAACGTGTTACCCCATGCATAATGTGTAATTCCTTCCCCCATCGTGATCATATCAATGCCGCCTTACGCCATCTTCTAGTTCTCACTTCGCAAAGTTACTAACGAACTACACAATTTTTTTTTTAAATCCCTTTCCCTTACCTTCGTAACACTAAACCTGCTGCTCTGTCAGGAACAAGAGAAATCCGTTGGGTAATCACCAGCGAAGTAGGCTTCTGGCTTGGCGACTTTGGAGAAAATACTACTACTTCACACCCACCCATCGCGTGATAATTTAGGAATTACAGGGGAAGAAGAGGAAAGAAAAAAAGGAAAAAAGGAAAATAAGATCACGAAAAATTAACAAGAAACCTACGAGCTCTTTAAGCCTTACCTTAGGTTCCTCTTTTCTATTTTCTCCAAATAGAAGCTATTAGCTTCCAGATTTTTTTATTTTTTATTTTTTTATCAACAGGATTTTCGGAGGGTCGCACATGGCATCCTGACATTTACAGCGTCGATTTCTTGGTCGCTATTGGGATCGGCATGGACTGCTAGTGTCCTAGTTTCGACCCCGCTGCATCAACACGTCCCTGTCGCGCGCTCCTGGTTCCGAATCTGCAGTCCGAGCCATAATCCTTTCTGAAACCTTCAGATAGTTGAACTTCGTCTATTTTTTTTCTTTCTCTTTCCTCTTACCCACTGCTATTCTATACAGTCATTACCGTCTCGGTTATTAGGGAGAGAGCGTGCGTGCTTGTGGGAGCGCATGCGTTGTTTGTAAGAGTAAGAGTAAGAGTAAGAGTAAGAGTCAGAGCAAGAGTCAGAGCGAGAGCACGGTAATCTTCGGAGGTGGAAAGCAGTGCCTTTCTTTTTTTAGTCACGAGAGGAAAAGATGGTTTCATTCTTTGGGTTTAAGCTCGGCGGCGAGAAAAAGAAGTAAGTTGGGATACGTCTTACCGCAATACATCTAACTAACTTCACGATGCAGAGTTGAAGATGCTTCGCCAACGCAGGTCCGTAGGAAACTTGTTAGAGAGCCTCTAGATGAGGAATTTCCCATGAGGGAGGCCGGGAAACCTGCGGCTTATAGTGTTAATGTCTCTTCGGGAGCCCGCCCCAATACGTCTCATTCAGTCAAAGTTACGGCTATGCAGACGAGACCATCTCCCTACGGCGCGGATATAACCGATGGAGCTGCTACAAGCATGTCCGACCTCCCTCAGCCGAGTTTTCCAGTTCTAAAGCAGCATTCTTCGAATCCCACCTTAGGAAGTGCTGGTAGCTGGCACAACGCTTCTTCTCCTTCAGATATAGCACCTCCGGTTCCTATGCGACACCCTTCTCGGCCGGCGACTCCTGTTCAGCAGCAGCAAACAGTCTGGGCGAATCCCCTTGAAATGCATTCTGCCAAAGGCTCGGCTGCGTCTTTAGCATCTGCGCCCTTACCGCTGCTGAGCAAACAACAACTCAAACTGGAAATCCCTAACGAACCAGCTCCCGGATTCCGAGAGGAGGACTCGTCGATACCTCCATCACCTCTACGGGTAGGAAGACCAAGCCCTGGTCCAAACTTCGTAGAGTCGCCACAGACTCAATCTCCCAGTAAACCACCATCCCCTCCGCAGTCCATAAGGAGTGGGACTCCTGTGTTAGGGCGACCGACATTTCCCAGGGATGATATGCTCCGTTCATCGAGCAGAGGTAGTCATAGGAATATACCCACTACTCTCAAAGAGGTCCAGAATATCAGGGATATGTCGAACCACAGCCGCTTCGGTCCGGCGGCGATTCCTTCCCCTATTGCGACTCCCCGCGGCAGTGAAGATCGAGTTCGGGGCGGCCTAGCGAATATCTTGGGCGATCCTAGTATTCATATACGCACGGTTAGCGCAAGACGTGATAATGTAAATCCGCGTAGTAACCCGATGCTGTCCGAGAGGCGAAGCCTTGAGATGCGGGTGGAGGAGCTCACGCGTCCGTGCATAGAGGAACCGATACAGCGTCCGAGGACATCGAACGGTTCCGAGATGGGCAAACTCATGCGACCTCCGCCGTTGAACCTCAGCTCTCGTCCGAGAACCCCCGACCGTGCTGGTACCTACCCACCTCCGTTTGCCGCGAATCAAAAACCTCAGTCGCCGATGCAGAGCCCGCGGAGGATGCCGAGAGATAGGAGTGGTCCACCACCTGCTGCCGTAGGGGCGCGCAGGCCGAATACTAGAAATGTGCGCAGACCTACGGCGGACGAGTACGAGATTCAACCGTCGTCTCAGCCGCCATCCCAACCACCCTCTCAACCGCAGTCCCGATCTCAGTCCCGGGTCAGGAGGATGTCTCAGGACAGCATTAGTTCCTCCTACTTCGATCGACCACCCTCCCCCGACAGTCCCCTAATGCCCCGTACGGGCCCGCTGGCAGGAAGCCCAAGCATCACGCCCATCGAAGCGCCGCTAGCCCCGCCGCCGCCGCCCAAGAATCTGGATTCGCGCTCGCGCCTCCAGGAGATGGAGCTGTTCCTAGCCGACGGCGACGAGGAAGAAGCCGAGCAGGACGACGAGCCGCTGATCCCCCCGCGCCTGAGCAACCGTAACGTCCCGACCCCCGACTCCACCATGTGGCCGATGCCCTCGCCCACCGCCTCCTCGTTCGACGACTACTCCTCGCGCGTCGGGTCCCCGCTCGGCTCGCCGCCGCGTGTCATGGCTGGGGGAAACGTCATGGTTGGTCCGCGGTCCGAGTCCCCGTTCGGGATGCGCTCGTTCAATTTCAGCCGGCCGATGACGCCGACGCTCGCGCATGCGGCGATGCGTCACGATTTTAACCATCATAACCATTACGGCGGTGGTTATGGCGGTTACAACGGAGTCGTAATGCCGCCAAAGCGCTCCGAGACCGCGCCCCTATCCCCAGGCTTCCGCGACCCTCAAGCTTCGCCGTCCATGACGAGGCCGTTACCGCCGAGGTCGAATACGGCGTCTCCAGGTATGGGATACGGACACGGACACGGACAAGGACAAGGGCACGGACGTGGTCTCAGGAGCCCGGCGATCGTGGGGGATGACTTTGGGGGTGGCGGGTTTATCTAACCCCTATCTCTGGCTCATTTGTCTTGTCATGATATGATACCAATCTATGGCACGGCTGGCTGGGCTGGCCAAACTTCGATTCGTGTACAGGTCTTACTGGCAAACAGGCGGGGACTGGTAAACGCCCAACATTCGCTTGTTTTGGGTTTACATTCTTCGATTCTCTCCCCTCCCCTTTGTCTTTGGATTATTGCATGGCATGGCACGGCACGGCACGGCATCGCATCGCAGCGCGTTCGCATCGCCTTTATCTTACCTTTATCTTCACCTTCACCTTCATCTTACAAAATTATTAGGTGCTTATATCATAGCTACAGCCGAGATACCCCCCTTTACACCTCCTTTACATACATATATATTCGCACATACAACCCACACCCGCCATACTATTACCCCGGTAACATTATCATTACGTTACTATACTTTACTAATTACTCCCTTTGTCGATATATGTATATGTGTTGGATTCGAGCTTGGGCGTTCGGAAAGAAATCAAGGGAAGGCGTGGCAGGGAGGTTAACCAAAATGGAAATTTTTTTTTTTCGCATGTACTGTATTTGAAAAGCATTGGCATCTAAGCATTTTAGGCATTTCAGCGACTGTAACACTTTTTTTTTTCTTGTTTCGCTTTAACTGTACAGCATATATGTGTTAGGAGGTACATATCTTCTACGGAGAGTGTGATGTATAGCATCTCATCTCCTCTGGGAAGATAAACTGCGTTAGGACGCTCGGGTTCGAGAGCGAAAGGAGGAAAGGAAGGAAAGGAAGAGAGAGAGAAAGTGAGAAGGAAGCTTTTTTTCTTTGTTCGGTTAGCTCACTCTATGATTATTGTATATTGTTAATGCGGACGGCATATATATAGATTACGTATATTTTTTTTTACTCTCGGGCTTCTTCGTTCGGTGAACTTGGAATTATGAGTTTCGGGGGTTATACAGTTAGGTACTGTAGTTGGTTGAGATTTTACTTAGCATGTCTCTTATTTCCTACCGCTTTTTTTTGCGGAATATACCTGTTAGCATGCAACGATGTTATTTACAACAACTAGAGTGCTAAAAAAGCACAGTTGTTATTTAGATACCTTCGAGGCTATTAGGGTTCACCAGATGCGCGTGTACCAACCAACCAACTACATGACGATGGATCAGCCAATATGCATAAGGCTGAGACTGTGGAGGGGGAAGGGGGGCTCTTGAAGAATGGAGGGTTTTCTACATATGGGTTCGGTTACTAAAGCTTAAACTGGTACATATGCCTGAGAAGACGATCTACAAGCCGAGACAATCAGTCTCATCTGATCGACGGTTGGGTGTACGTTAGGTAGGGGTAGGTATGTATGTAATGGACAAATCCCTCCGTATCTCTAAGCCACTCTTCCCACGAACCAAGACCTAGATCAGCGCTCGCAGCCTCATCACGTCCCGCCAGATTAGGTACACGTTTTCAGATTCAATGTCATACTATCGTCACCTATGTAAGTGTCGTATCAGATCAGAATTTTTCTTGGTAGAGCATCATATCAATCCTTTACGCCTATGAGAAAATATTGAATAAATGTCAGACGAGCTTGGTAGTTGTCTAGACTACGAGATATGAGGCTGTATGCTATGAAGCAACAGAGTCTTAAAAGAACTGTTATAACAGGTACATTAACATGTTCTTCTCGTATACCATGTAAATTTTCCCGTGCTGTTACAACACCGTCCCCCCCCTCCAATAAGCAGGATTTCATTAGAAATATCGAATGAGAAAAACCTACTGCTGTCATATTTCAACATATCTCGAGCTATCCCAGACTGATCTTCACTCGGGCGATCGCGATGGGTGGGCGTAATGATTTGCTCCGGGGGCCTGGGGCCTTCAGTGACGTCACACGCACGTAGTGTATTGATGAGATGAGATGCCAGACTACACGGAGGTACTACTGACTGCTATTATCTAATGTACGTGGCTGGCTCGGAAATACAAAAGGCTCGATTTGGACGGGAGGTTTTCTGATAGCGAGGGTTCGATTTGGAAATAGATAGCTACCTAAGCTAAGGTAATAAGTAGGTAGAGTTCTAGAGCTAGAATAACTGATAACTCTTTCTCTAGTAACTACTTTATAAGTACCTACCTCTAACCTACAGTATAACTTATAACTACACGAAAACAGCAGCAACTCAAGTAAAGCTAGGCCGTGATAATACTTAATCGAAACAATGCCGGTCGAGGTGAAAACCATAGAAGAGATCAACGGCGTGAACGGCGGCCCCGAGCCGCCCGTCGAAGTGACGGTTCAGAGGAAGCCGTTTCTCCAGCCGGACGACGATCAGAGAATACCGCATGCCGGTGGGTATTTATTTATTTTTCCTTCTTTCTCCCTCCCGTCCGGGGGGCCGGGGGGCGGGGGGGGGGGGGGGGGGGGGGGGGGGGGGGGGGGGGGGGGGGGGGGGGGGGGGCGGGGGGGGGCC